GGGCCGAGTGCCCTGTGCGGAGTTCCTGGCCTGGGGGTTTGTCACAGTGGTGGAAATGACAGGCACAGGGACCCTTCGGCAGCTGTACTGTTTTTGCTGCAGTGAAATGTACTTTGGTGGACATCAGAAGACTGAGCAGAGACCTTCGTTCTGTGCTTATCACCAAAGGGTGTAACATGCCGCTTCCCAAGTCACGACCACCCCGTTCCAGGCCGTGAGTTGGTGATGGACTTGTTCAGCTCAGGGGAGCTCACTGGGACTTTGGAGGTGCTTTGTGTGCAGCTTCTCGGCATTGTGCACCCTTTTGCTGTTTTGATGAGATGTGAAATTAAGGTCCCCTGAGGACAAACATCTCTCCTTTATCTTATTGGGAGTCCTGATAGACACAGTTCTCCCTAATCTTTTGTTAACCCTAAAAGAACAAGCAGACATGAATTCTGCACAGAGGGAGTTTGTGCCACCAGCTTTAGAGGACATAATCATCAAGAGAAGCCTCTAACCAGGAGCCCTCTGGGAATGCAGCCTGCGTTCTCATGGCGGCCCGGTGAGCCCCCCTCAGAAGGGACCCACGGCCTCACCCTTGCTGCCCAGGCGTCTCAGCTGCAGCCAGTCGATCTCCCTGGGCTCCACCTCAGAAGGCAGAATCGACCCACACGTGTCCGTGGGCTTCGCACGGGTTCCACTTGTCTGTCACCTGTGGCACCCAGCTCTGAGTTCTTCCTTTTCCTCGCTCTGACCCTTTTTCAAGGCACCGACCTCTGATTGGGAGAGCACGAGGCAGCCCCAGCAAGGTCAGGACCCTCTGCACCAGGGAGACACACCCATTGTGGTGGGCGGAGAAGGCCCACACACCTGTGCTGGTTCAGTGACCGGCAGGGGCACTGCCATGCGTCTCCCACCCCGCCCTCTCCGCTTCGTCCGCTGGCAATGCGCACATTTTGGGGGCTGCATAGTCAGTACCCATTATTCCTGGGGTTGGGGGCGGAATACAGACTAGAAATGAAAGGTCTGTTGATTTAAACGTCTGTGTGTGCTGATCACACCTATGCACACAATGCGCTCCGGATGGTACGTGGCACCAGAGTGTGGCTGAGAGAAGAGCTAATGAGAATATGTGAATCCCATCCCGGCAAAGCTGTGGAAGAAATAAGCGTGGTGGATACTGAGTCCCAAGATCAGGACTAGACGGTCTTCTGCATTGGTCTCTCTCTGTCTTCCTACCCTCCACCCTGTAAATCCTCTCACTGCCTTCTTTCCCTAAGCAATGGGAGTCAGAATCACATCTGTAACTTGGGCTTCTGCCCTGTTCAGCCCCAAGAGACCTTCAGTGTTGGATTTGGCAAGATTCCTGAAAGAGCTCGTGAACTCGCTGTTGGGGTTACAGTGAGGTGAGCACGCCACTCCCGGGCCTACATTCAGCTCTTCCGTTGCTACCTGGCCATCCCCGTGTGTCCCCAGAGGCGGGTGGCTTGAGAGTGCCGTCTGACAGGAGAGGCCATTGGCTCGCCCAGGGTCCCGCTGTGGCTTCAGAGCGGCTCACTTCTGTCCGCTCTCCCGAGAACAGAGCAGAGCTGCTCCGGGACTGCTGATGAGCAGCTGGCTCGGGCACGGGGCTTTGCCAGCCTGCTGTCTCTGAGTTTACCCTCAGCAACCGCAGCGCCCTGCTGTCGCTGCACTGTTTTCTGTGGGCTTCACTTGGTTTCCTCTTGTGACCAAAAATGAGTCCAAAAGAGAACCGTTTCCTGCTTATTCCTTATTATTTCAAAGCGGCCGATCAAGGGGACACTCGGGACCTGTATCAGGTACGGCGGGGACTGAAGCCCAGGCTCGCAGGAACGGTGCGTGCTCAGGGCTCACCAGGCACAGGCGAGCTGCTGCATCGTCGTGTTGGCACCTAAATGTTGCGCCGTCCGGTTAGGGTTCCTTTAAAAGAACTCAACGCAGCAGCCAACACCACATGGCCGAGGCCCTTCCCGTGAAAGTGTCTTCCGATCAATGGCCTTGATGTGCCCTTGACACTGTGATCTGTGTTATGGTTTCCCTCAGAACCAAGCCACCGACTTTCCCCTTCAAAGGAGAGCCCCTGAGAACATGAGACACCCTCAGACCTCAGGGCAGTGGGGCATTGCCATGGATTTCTGCAAAGGAGCATAAACCTGGAATGGAATTAACATTTACACTCTGAGAAAGTGGCCTCTTTCTCCCCCGCTCCCCTGTATGTCGTACCGTCTGGACTCCCCTGCCCTTGGTGCTGTGTGCACAGAGGGTCGGTCGTGTGGAACTGGGAGGACCCTGTCTTCAGTCCGTGGCTGCTCCATGTAGTGGCCGACTCGCCACTCTCCCTGGCCCTACTCTAGCACTAAAGTCTGTGTCCTGGAGTGTGCTCGTGTCCGGGCAGGCTGAGAGAGTTTGGTCCCCTTAGTGCTCTGAACAACGCGCCTAGAGGCTGAGGCTTCTCCCTGGCACCTACAGGTAGCTTCCCCTGCATGACAGCCACTGGTACAGAAGGACGCAGGTGCACTGTTGAGAGCTCACACTGGTGACCCCGAGCGGCGCTGCTGCTGGTGTTAGTTTACCAAAAGATGCTTCTCCAGTGCCTGAAATGGGGGTTTCCTGGGGAGCCTTGTGTCTGCGTCCCACCAGGCTTCCAGCGCAGCTCATGCTGGCTTTATTGTAAGGAAGGCACAGAGGTGGGAGATACGATGAATAAAATAGAAGTTAGTGATCAGGGAGAGAAAAGCCCAGTAAGAAGTCCCCAGAGAACACAGCAAGGGCGTGGTGGGACAGCGGCCACAGCAGCAAGGACCATCCTCGGAATTACTGCACTCAGCCCGTTACGGGGCTGTGTTGGCCTCTTCAGCAGCATCTCACTGTGGAGAGAGGGTTCGTAATGTCTCTGAGTCGCGCCACATGCACAAGTCACTTCCCAAGCACCATCCCGTGAGCCCTCACCACCCTCTCAGAAGTGTAGCTTGGGGCTCGGGAGCCCAGGAGACGTGATCAGAGTCCCACAGGCAGATCGCAACTCATGTGGCTCCATCCACGGTGGCCTGTGACGCTGCGTGATCTCAGTTTATGGAACCGAATCTGAGTGAAGCCTCGTATTGCGAGGGCTGGGCCAGGATGAGGATGGGAACCCAGAAAGCCAGCCTTGCTGTGACGGGTTCCAGCGGAAGCAGAATTCAGCGTGGCCCTGGACTTGTGGGGAGGTTGGCCAGAGGTGTGCAGGGCCTTCGGGAAACTGAGTGACAGCCATGCCCACACCAGGCACGTGGTGGGCCAAGGGCACCGGCGTGTGTTGGCAGAGGGTCCGCAGAGTGAAGGAGCAGGCGCTACTGCCCATGCTGGCCACCCGGTCCTGGGGCGTGAGCCTTCTCAGAGCAGGTGCCTCTGATTCTGCTAGGAGCTTGTTCGCTCAGGTGAAAGCGGAGCAGAGTTTGGGCTCAGAGCCCTGGGCGGCCGGGCCTGCCTTCCTTTGCAGGGTCCCCACACGATGCTGTGGTTTCTCATTAGTAAAGCACACAGCTTCCGGTGCAGCACTGCAGGAAGGGCAGTCTGGTGGGGTGTTATTTGCGCTGGAGAAGAGGCTGAGTCGGAGGTGGGCCTAGTGGAGACCGGGCTCAGTCAGCAGGAGGAAAGGATGGTGTGGACCCCGGGGGCTTCCCGGGAGGCAGTGACAGCCTGGGTGTGGCCTGTGTGCTCCAGGACACAGAGATGCGGCTCTGGACTTCCGGTGCCTCCTCTGTACACAGCTGGGCCCTCGGGAGCTAACTGCTCAGCTTGGGAGGAGGAGTTGTGTGCGGGACGTTTCTTCTCAGGAAATTCAGTTCACGCCAGGGCTCCTTTCCCTGGGAATCATTTGTCCGATCTTGACAAGGGAACTCAGGGCTGCAGCACGTGACGGCCTAAACATGAGAACTGTGGTACGAAAATGCAACATTTGGGTTTTGGATGTGACGACTGTGTTGAAACCAAGCGGAGGGTTGCAGTGTAGGACTGAAACCCGGGAGAGGAGGGATCAAGTAGGTGGGGCCGGAGTCCTTGGTCTGGAGAAGAAAGGAGAATTCTGTCGTAAGAGGAGGATCTGACGAGGCTGGGCTGAGAGTCCAGTGCCGATCGATCGCAGCACATCCACGCTGATGCAAACCCTACCTCCTCAAGGTGGGACACGCCCAGGCGGACGGTGGGGACAGCAGCCCCTTGTGGATTTCTTCTCTCCTACACTGTCTCAAAAAGTTGCTGGCATTGCATGTCAAACAGTGACAGGGAGGCTGAGACAGGCGCTTCCGCAGTGCCTAGTGTGGGCGGAGGAAGTTGAAGACTGAGGCCCTGAGGAGCACGGACCTCAGCCATAGCAACCACAGTGCCCTGTTGCTCCCCACCTATGTTGCATTAAAATGATCCAGAAAGCGAACACCAGGTAACGAAGTCTGGGTCACCCCCCATCTATCTCTGGAAATGCCATTTGGAACCAGCGCCTTTCATTTGACAATAAAATCGATGAATGAAATATCGCAAGGCTGAAAGCAGAGCTGTGCAGAATTCATTACCACTCAGCCCCTGCGCTTGGCTTTCCCGGAACAACATATCCACCTGATGACGCTTGGATCTGCTTTGAACTGGAGTCTTTTGAGCACAACTCAGAAGGTCTTCTCTTTGGAGTTTGCTTCTTTCTGGGTGAGCTTTGGTTTAAACCCTGGGAAATGCAGCAGCTTAAGTGGGAGGGACTTGGGGAACGGTGCTCAGTTTGGAGCACTTTTGCTAGTCATCGGTGATCTCCTGTCAGTAACTTTGCTGTGAGCCCCCGTCCATTTGACCGGTCCCTCCCTTTCGAGGGGCGTCAACACCAGGTGCCCTGAGCAGCCTCCAAGATGCTCTGTGCTACACAGCAGAAAACAGAGGAAGGGAGGGGAGGGGAGGGTGCCCCACGCTCCCTCGGAGTTAATGTCTGCCCCGCAGAGAGCATTAGACGGTTCAGACGAGGTCATTCTGTCGCAGCGATGGGAAGTCGGATCAACATGGAAGAAGTAAAGCTGAAGCCTGGGTATGCAGGTGGGGGATGGGAGAATCGGGGAGCGAGGCCCCAGGTGTGAGGAGGTTGTGTCGCCTTGAGAAAGGAGCTGTTGGGTGTGTGGAGAGGACCGGAAAAGTGGGGAAAGGTCTGAGATTCCCAGCTCGTCGGAGGAGGGTCTCCGAAAATCCGTCCTAACTTTTCACGTGCCCCTTCCTTTCCTTACTGCACAGTGCACTCTACAGATGCCGCTGGGCCCTAGGAACAGAGGACTCAGTAAGTTACAAGCTGCCCTCAAAAGCATGTGTTCAAGTATGCAGAGAGAGGAAGGAAAATGTGTGTGCGCACATGCTGGTGTGTAAACATCTTGGACGCTGCGAAGGTGCAGGATTGTAGACAAAAGCGAGGCACAGGGAGCAGTTTTGGAGAGGGCTGCAAAGGAAGGTTGTTGGTCTGCTGTGCACTGCTGTGATGCAGTGCCTGGGCGGGCCGCCTGGGAGGAAGAGTGGCTGGCTGAGCGCAGAGTCTGGGACACTCAGGGCATGCCCAAGTGGCTGGGTCACGCCAGCGACACCTTGCTTGAGGAAGGAGCGCACATGCGTGTCCACGTGGAGGGGCAGAGCTCGGGCTCACAGAGTAATCTCCACGCGGAAACCACCTGGAATCACCTCTGAGCCCTGTGTCCCCACGCCTGGAGGCCTCGCTAGACCAACGCCAGCCTCACCACGCCAAGGACTGAGGGGACAGAGCAGATCCAAGCTTAGCAAGAAATTCCCGCTGAGAGGAGCTGACCCTGGGAAGACTTGGCTCAGGCATGGGGCTCCACGCAGGCACAGGCCAATGTGGAGGGTGGAGTGGGCAGAGCGGCTGCAGTGTTGGGGAGCGAGGGAGGATGGGAGCAGGGACGGTTCAAGCGGGGACTGAGGGCTGCCCTCATGCACTGGGTGTCACATTGAAATGGTGCTCAGGCTGTGCCCTTCAGAAGGACTGGAGGAGACAGCACAAAGCAAGGCGACCTACTGCGATCTGCACTGGTGTCACTGGAATGCGGTTGGAAAGCAGAGGGAGGAGCCCGGGAGAAGGCAGCCTTTGTCCTTCTAGGCCCTGGGCGAAGGAGGTCAGTCACTGTCCTCCTGCAGCAGGTCAGCCATCAGCCCCGCCCCCCGGGTCGTGACGGATGTAGAATGCCATCTACAGAGCATCTGGTGCACAGCCGAGGTGTCCTGGGTCCCTGCAGCATCCAGCCCTGTCCTCTACCCAGCCCGGGCTTGGGTTCTGTTGCAGTTGTCATTTTCGGTTTTGTCGTATATTTGAAACTACGACTGACTCGACATGAGCAGGGGTGTAGTGATGTTTAAGTTCTGCTTAAAGAATACGAAGCCAGTACCCAGATAGCCACCACCTGGCTTAAGACAGAGGCCTTCCGGACCCTTCAGGCCCTATGTGCTCTTTCCCAGATTGCCCTCTCTTCTGGATTTCTGTGATGTGAAGTTGGATCTTGCCAGCCCCATTGTGCTTCTTCCCAGATAGCGTCCGTGTTCCCAGGCGTTACACTCTTTATCCTGACTCTTTTCACTTTGTAGAACGGAAGCATGCTGCAGGAATACTTCCGGGACTTGTAATTTTTGCTTAAATTAAATGATTAAGATGCACTGCTTTTGCAGCGTGTAGATCGGCCTCATTCATCTATCTCACAGCTGCCTGTGACTAAGACACAGTGTGCTTATCCATTGCTTTGTCACGGAACGTTTAGTTGCTTATCATTTTTGGCTGCCCCCAGCGATGCTTCTGTGGTAGGGTTTACGTGTCTGCTGGGGCCCGGTCTGCTGGGGAGCTTCCCTTCCTGGTTACACGTAAGAGTGGCTGTGTAGGCACTCACGCTTACCCTCGCCTCCATCCGTGATCGTCGGTGGTTTCCAGAGCGGACCTCGCAGTGTACACCCTCAGCCTAGTGAGGTGTTCCTGTTGTTCCTGTCTCATTGTGAGGGCATCGCCGGCCTGGCAGGGGAGCGTGCTGCCTACGGGCACAGAGCTGTGCATTTTTCTGTGGGCAACGAGGTGGCATGCTTTGTAGTATCTCCTTGATGGTTCTGTTCCAAGAAACACCCATTTATAACTTTTGTCCGTTTTCAGTTGGGTTGGTTATCTTTTCCGCCTCGGTTTGCAGCCCCTCTGTGTGTTTCGGACACTCAGCTTTGGCCAGTTTCACATGTTGCAAATATTATCACTCGGGCTTTATTGCATGTCTTTGCAGTATGCTAGAGTTCTGAACTGCAGTGTAGTTGAATTTATCAATTGTCATCTCTATGGTTTATGTGTTTTATATTATTCAGCTTAAGAAAATAACCTTTAACCTTCGGCCGTGGTACTCACCATAATTATTATACATTTTTGAAACCTTTGTCTTTCATGTTGACTCCCTTCATTGCCTGGAATCCACTCGTGTAGGAGGTGCAGATGATGTGCTGATTTCTTGCACGGGGAGCGTCAGCCCCCACTCAGGTGTGCAGCTCGCGTCCCCTCACGCAGGGTGAGTCCCGCCCAGGGACCTGCGTCAGCACTGCGTTACCTGTAGCTGATTGCATCTTGTGATGCGTCCTAGTAGCTGGTAGTGCTGTTTCCCTCACCTGTTCTCCTTTAAAACTTAAAATTTTAACTATAAAGAAGATAGAAGATGTGATCAAACTATATGGTAAATGTTCAAATTTTTAAAGTTTATGATAGTGAAAGACCCCTGGCGTAGTAATCCCTTCCTAATGCTCTTCCTTGCTTGGAACCCTCTCGTCCCATCGTTCTTGCCACTGTCCGAAGCAGCTCTGGAGTCTTCTTTTGTGAGCATCTTTACACGGTGTGATCCAAAATACAGTGACTGCTACTGCCTGGCACCATCCAGCAGAAAGGCGGCTCATAAGAGCAGTGCCTTGGGTCCTCGTCACCCTGCTCACTGGATCTGACACACCGCACCTCTGGCTCTTCCCCAGGCATTGCTTCATCCCTCTTTTCCTACGTCTCTGGACCGATCATAATTTTCATTCCTCCTTTCAGTTTCAGCCTCTGCTAGATTAAAGGTGACATGCTAGGAATTTGCACTCGCTTATTCAACTTAAAGTCTGCAGTTAACATCTCCACTGTCCTGAATGACTCTGGGTGCTGTCTGTGACCACTTCTGAGTCGTGTGCTCATTATTCAAAGCATTCCCTTTCTAACTTGTTTTTTCTTCTAATTTCATTAATTAGATGGCATTGCTAATTTTTAGTTGGTATGTGTTAAATTTTCATCATGTATTTGCTGTTTTCTGTTTGTACTATCTTTTCTCACCTCCCATGCTTTCTTTTCTGGGATTGTTTCCCTTCTTCCTGACAGGTGTGACATCTTTTCAAGTTCCCTTTAGTAAGGATCTGCCACTAGTGAAATCTGCTCTGGATATTCCAAAAACTGCCTTTATTTTGCCATACTGAAGTGGGGTTTCCCTGGTTCTGGACCTCCAGAGTGATAGTTCTTTTCTCCAGGCACAGTGGCTGTACTGTTCCACTGTCTTGGAGCTCACATTGTTCAGCGATAAGTCAGCTGATGATCATTTTGCATTTCTGTTGCTTTCCTGCTTGATTTCTTTTCAAATGTTACACCCATTTTTGATAATTTTCTCTTTTTTGCTGTACTTTTTGTATATTGCATGCATAATAAATTACAGTAAAACATAATAGCTTCAAACAGGTCATTTATTGTGTTTCCTGGCTTCTGTTACAGAACAGCCGGTCAGTCTGGCATGTTCTGCTTGACCTAAATAATTGGATTTTTGGTGACTCACTGCCTACTGCTGGCAGGTTGGTGGCTGCTGGAGCCCAGGGCCTTCATGGGGCTCTCCAGGTTGCATCTTAGGGTGTCCTTACAGTACGGAGCCTGACCTCTCCTGTGAAAAACAGAAGCAGAGGGAGATGGCACATGAGAGGACATCCTACCTCTTCATGTGGCGTCGGGTCTGTCCCTTCGATCGGTGCCCTGGGAATGAGTCACTGAAACAAGCCCTTCAGCAGGAAGGGAAGGGAGTAAAAAAATTGGGGAGGGATTTAAAGCCTTTTATTTCTTTAAACATTGAGCAAATTTCCCTGTGTGCTGTACAGTATATGATCATTCTAAGCAGGAGTCTTTGGAGTCTCATTCCTTATAACTCCCCCAGTGCTGTGTTCTGTAGATTTCTTTTTGTTGCTGCTATGAACCCACGTTCCCTGGAAATTTATTGCTGGGGGTTCTTTGAGGCCAGGCTTTAAAATATAGTTTTCTGGATAGGATTTGTATTTGCTTGCGCCAGATGACTTTACAATGGCTTTCCAGCTGACGATGTAACCATGAATTCTGGCAGGCAGCTATGTGAGGGTAGCCCAGAGTTCCAAAGTCTCCACGGAATCCTGTCGCACACCCAAGGCACATGGACTTCCGGTCTTCCTCTGTGTGACTGGCTCTCCCTTCCCCCCAGGAGACCCTGTCTCCAGCTCTCTTCTCCGTGCTGCCTTCTTCCTTTCCCTTGGAAACTAATGTTCCTGCTGCTGGACAAGCAGGCTGCACCATTCACTGCTGCTTGTCGCCGTCTGTGTGGGCTCTGAGGGTTCCCTTCCTCCTGCTTGCTCACCTGTCCCTGCCCATGCACACTCATGCAGCTCTGCAGAACTTTCTATTTGTGTGTTTGTTTGTTTGTCTGAAGCAGCATATTTAGGTTTTCAAGCCAGGTTTTCTTTTTAGGATTCTTACCCTCCAGAGTGTCCGACACGGGTGCACCCAGGGAGCTCTTTAAAATTACAAATTCCCTGGTCCACCCCAAAGGTGGGAAATTGGCAAATGAGACTGCCAAGATGGAGTCAGGTGCATGTATTTCTCTAAAGCCTCCCGGAGGACCCCAGTGCCCTCCCCTCCCCCGTGCTTAGAGCTAATTACTGTAATGAAGAGGTGGTCCGGAAGCAAAGGGAACTCCGCAGGGAGCTGGGTCGGCCCACAAAGTAGGGACAGTGTGATGGAGGAGGAAATGGCATTTTGTCTCCTTGAACCT